ACAATACAATCATATGCTACCAGTAAGACCATAATTATTTTGTGGTCAAAATGTTTTTGGATTTAAAAACAAAATATTAACCTAGACTTACAAAGGTTACTTGGCATAAAGTGTAGAAAATTAGACCAGTCATAAATGAATTCACCGAGATTCTTTTATCAAGAGTCTTATAAAATTCCTTAAAATACAGCTGAAAGCCTCTATTACCTCATCTCACTCTACAAAAAAACAAATCCTGAAATGTATGTCCCTGTAAAGAAAGATTTCTGGATGACATATATTTTCTGGTACCCTTCCTCCATTAATCTAAACATGATTCCATAAGGATCAGAATGCATTGACTTAATTTATGAAAAGCTCAAATAGGGCAGCATTAGGAGGCAAAAGGAAGGAAGGAGTGAGGAATGTAGGGAAAAGGTTAAGGTAGGAAGGAGAGATTAAGAATTCTCACCAATCACAGMAGCTTTGGTCAGATTATCTTTTAAAGGTTTTGGCAAAGCTCTGATAACCCTCATGAGAAGAGTTCCCTTCTGACCATATCTGTCTAGTAACTAACTTGACCTGAAATGTTCATGGTTGCACCACTTTTGTGATTTTCTCAGAACCAGGATTCTCAAATTGTTCTGTTCACTAGTAAGTAAAACAACAGACAAAGTTAAGGCAATTTTTATAAACGGATATGCTGAATGGATGGGAAGGCTCAATTTCAAATCCCTTGTCTTGATTATTCAACTACAACCAGAATAAGTCAAATCATGAACACTAACAGCATCCAATATGTCACCTTCTGGTGTAAGAATATTTTCAAAATTTAGGGACCCATGAGGTTCTTTCAAAAGGAGGGAAGAAGTACTATTAGACTACATTAAGATAAAAGTTCAGACTTCTTTAAATTTTTAGAATTTTTAATTTAAAAAAATTTTTTTGATAAGTATAGATCTTCGAGATTTGGGGATTATTATTTGTTATTGACTCTGGTGAATTATCTACAGTAGTGTAAATAGATTATTTAAAAGTAAGGCACAATCATAGGTTGCTTTTGGATTGTCTCCCATGAAAGTGCACCAAAAGAGCCATCCCAGGAAATGGACTTAAGGCACATTTTGCAGAGGTATCTTTTTCAGTTTGCTGGTTTCCTACAGATGGCTAAAGCAGGGGTATGGGATATGCTGTCATATTTCATTCATAACACACATGTACTGTAGCTCTAGGCAACAGATGGACAATCGCTTGTTTAAACTACAAATGTGAAATACTAAGGTAGAATAGCAATATTTCTAGAAATGTATATGGAAAAAAAATGCCTTTCCAAGCCAAGAGGAATGGTGAGAGGCTGTGAGGTTACATCAGTGTTTCCCTGATCTCCCTAGCAGCTGCCATAATTTCCCCAACACCCTTCAAAACTTGAAAATGAAAGGATCAGGGGGCAGCCGACACAGATTTGACAAGAGAAGCCCAAACCATATCAAATAGAAATAACACTGTTATTCCTGGCTGGTTCACATTAATAGGATTTTTACTAACTAGGAAAATGGTGGGAAGTTATGTTTTCAGAGCCCTGTCTATATTCTATCAACTCTCTAGTGTATCCTCATTGAAAAAGCACTCTCTTTCTTCCTCTGGACCCAAATACAAAATAGTTGTTTAATGTAAAGTTTCAGGTTCTTTAAACACCACCATAAACATCTTTGTAGAATCTTTCACAGAAAACAGTTAGTGTTGACAAGTCTACCTTACTAATCAGCATATTCTCCATGAAGTAATTTTGATCACAGCAGTTGCATCCACAAAAACAATATGTTAATGATAAGGAAAAAAACCCCACATCTTTAAGTTGCAAAGATGTCAGCATCTCACAACCTTGACCTTATGTTGAGACACATGACTTATTTTTGTATTTTAAAGGTGATCTGCTTGCAAACAGACTCCACATTGAGTCAGTTTGAGCTGGGAATCCAAAAAAAAAAAAAAATTAAGAATCTTACTTTGGTCTTGGGGTAAAGATCAGTGGCAGAGTGCCTGACCAGCATGCACAAAGCCCTGGGTTCAATCCTCAGAACTGCAAAAAAAGAAAAAAAAAAAGTCTTATTTTGAAATGGTCTATAGAGGCCAAGGAGTAGTGGGATTTCTTTCCTTTTCCATGTGTCCATTTTATACAGAAATACCAAACATTAGTGCTTTTGATATTTTTTAAAACTGGTATAATTTTACAAACTTTTTCCTATAGGCTATGATTTTTTCTATTACTTATGTATTTAAATGATATCAAGACAATACATCAAAAGACAATAAGTATACTTAAGATAATATGATTTTTTAACTCTCTCTTATAGGCAAAATTTCATGTAACTAAAACAGTAAAGAGTGACTTGACATTGTTTAAATCAAATGATTAATAGAAAGACAAGAAAGTAATAGAAATMATATATTTAAGAAGTCCTAAAATAAAATATGATAGGATCCTTTCCTTATTAGACATTGTGAAAGAAAAAATCTAAATCTAAATACTTTTGTATATGTCTGTGTGCACATTCATTTTTATAAAAGTATAAGTCTATATTAAAAAGAGATTTACTTTAAAAATCTTTGGTAAAGACACTCTGAGGTTATGTGATAAGAATGCACTATAAAGATCATAAGCAAGCAAATTTCTGCTGGCAGTGCCACAGTGGTGGGCCTGTGACAGTATTATCTTCAAACTTTCTTTTGGCATGTAAACATTTGGTTAAATAAGAACTTAAATTTAACAAGTAGGATGTTATTGCATTTTGAGAGTATAAATATTTCATAATTTCTTCCCCTTTTGGCAAAATTTCTAATAATATGACTACATTTCCAGAGATAAAAACTTTCCCTCAATACATTGGACTCTTTGCTTTTGGCCTAAAGACAATTTCCCCGAAGTATTTCAGAGTAAACGTGAATGAATCACCTTAAGTGGGCTATATTAGCACCCCAATTGTCTAATAGTCAATGCTAAAGGCATCAGTACAGTCTGGCCTTTAATTTAGAGCACGGGAATTCTTGAGACATGGTATAATTTTATCGTAAATTCACATGTCAGCCCTAAGTGGATCTCATTATATTTCACATTCTGAGAAATATAAGATCCCAGATAAGAGAAGGAAGGTAAGAACAGGACAGTGGTCAAAGGAAGCTCTTGCAATTTATAACTTTGATGGTTCTAACACAAAACCATTTGCTGATAAAAGCAAATAAGCCACAGATTAATTTACATGAGCTGTAGTGACCACAAGTTGAACAATATCTTATTTTTAAAAAAATCACTTTTATGATGATTCGTATTCAAGTAAAACAAATTTGACAAGAATTCCTGAGGCATGGGTTGTAGTTTAAAACATGAATAAAATAATTTCTCATTTGTGTTCTGCATGTTAAAAAYTATTATTTTTTTWAAATTCAAGGTATACAACCCTCACTTTCATGGTTATGAAAAAGATATTTGTGGAATAAAGGAAGGCTACATAGGGATTCATTATATTATTATTATTTATACCTTCTTGTATATTTAAAATACTCCATAATTTAAAAGTATATATTCATGGGGAGATACAAAGAAAGGTTTAAGAAATCTCATCCCAAAATACTTAGTTAGTTTACAAGATGGCAACTTGCCATTGCTAAGCTAGGTGTCTTTCCTTAAATGAAACATGCTAGAACTTAATAAATATGGTTCTGCAGTTGGCAAGCAAATGTTTCACTGGCTAATAAGAGTTTGAATAAAGATTCTAGGCAGAGATTCTGCATATTTTTAGCTCAGAAAGACAATTTTTTTCAGTGATTGTCTTTGCAAGTGTGGTATAAATGTCACATTGATGATATGAAAATGTCTCCTGCAGCATGTAATTTGAGTTGCAGAAGGATTTTGAGAATAATAAAACTGTGCTTTCACAATTCTTTTCAAGATTTCCTCTATTTTTTTTAATGTAAACTAAACAAAGCCACACAACTTCATTTTTGTGTGCGATTTGCAATTGGTGGCACAAAAACAGACCTGGGTCTAGGAGGTTACAAAAAAAAAAAAAAAAAAAAAAGAAGAGAGAAAGAGAAAAAAAAGCATTTGAACAGTTTTTTATGGGTATCTTCCTCTAGAGAAAATGTCAATTTTGGTGGCTGTGTTCAGTTATTGGAAAAAAAATACTATTTCTTAGGTGAAAAGCAGAATGGTATTGGAAATATTACAAATGCAAGTTTTTCTGTATTGGGTCTAGGTAGGGTAAAAAAGAAAAATCTTAAGACAGTACTGTGGGATAATAATGGACTTTTCAAACATACCCCGCAAATGCTGTGCATGGCATGTCCCTCCTGTACTTTCTTCAGAAAACCACTGAAGCTTGKTTCTGTTTCCCCACTCATTAGCTATTGGCCGATAACTGTTTTTAAATGAGCCTTGACCAATGGTCACTACAGATTTTAAATTTGGATGGTTGAAAATTAAATTTGTTTTAACTGACATATTTTACAATTTAAATTGTTTACAGCCTAACATAGAAATTGTGTATTTTTTCTCCAAGGGACATGAATAGTGTGGAAAACAGAAAAAATACACTTTCCAAGACATACCAAAATCATGGCTAAACTTTAGAGTCACACGCAATGTGGAAGTAGCAGGATGAAGACTTCTGAAAGCACCTGTGAGTTGGCAGAGTGACCCAGGAAAAACTGTGTGACAGCAAATACCACTCTAAAAAAAGCCATTCAACCAGATGAAAAGTGAGACAAACATAGGGATTAAAAGTTACAGGAATGCAGAAGTGAATGGGATGGAGTATAATCTGTGCAAAAATGTGGAAGTACTTGGAACAAAGGCCCATCGAGGCCCTACATGATTAAATGTGAAATGTGTATTTGGTAAGAACATTTAAAAAAAAAAAACAACAAACAACTCATCATCTATGTGTTTCTACAGAAAGTTTAACAGCAAATGAATCACGGAGACCATCCCATAATTTGATTGCCTTGCCCCCATTTTCCTAAATTTTTTTCTTATCTCTTTCTGTGTTTCATTCTTCGCAACGCTGTGCACTAAGCTGTTAATAGACCACTGAATCTACAGGTCGGTGCTCGCCTTGGCGGTTAACACTCTGATGCGCGTAGAATTGCAGGTCTTACAGAGGATGTGTCCATCCAAGGGGTAGCAGCCTTGGTTGTCTCCTTCAGATAAGAGACCACCACAATCCTAAGAAAAGCAAGACACATGGACATCACATAAGTGAAAATGTAAGGACATTCATGAAACCCAATTCCTTAAGTGTTCTATTCAAGACCTCCAAGACCTGACCTCTCACAACCTCTACGGCTTCATGTAATACTGACCCACTCTGTCACTTCCCTCAGTTTATAACACAGTGTACCTTAAATTAAATTGGATAAGAGGTGGGGGACATGAGTACAGATGAAGTGAAATGACCTTCTTGAAGTCACTGACTATGAAATCCAAGTATAAAAAAACACCCAGGGTAGAAGTTTGCTCCCCAAACAACAAGAAGAGTAAATAAAATTAGAGCCTTAATTCATCTATACCCTTTTGTCATCAGTTTAAGAATCTCAAAAGGAATACATAGCTGCAGGTGTGAATATTTTTGGCTAATTCTGAGCAAAAGCAAAGTGAGAGATTCCTGCCAAGCATAAGAGCCACCAACACTTCAATTATATTTAATTGTATAAGAAAATAAAATATTGGAGCAATAGTTTGTTGTCCTTTCTAAAGCAGAGAACAGGGTATAGAGGAATGAATGTTAGACTGGGATACAGTTCTATCACTGCCTGCTCCCTGCACACAAGGCCCACTCCACTCTGAAAATAATTCCTGCATTTTCTACATTACCAAGGTGCCGAGAGGGTCAAAGTGAGTAATGGTTGTGTATGTATTTTGAAAAAATTTAAAGAGCTACAAACTATTATGTTACTGTTGACAGCCCCTCTGAGAGTTTACTTTGGAAAGTGTTATGTAGCAGTTAAATGCTAGCCCTTAACTCTGGAGGATATGGAAATTTCTTTGGAAAGTAAATTTAGAAAAGTTCACATAGTGGTGTGTGCCCTTGCAAACTTAAGGAGAAGACACAGCAGCTGCACACCTTGCCTCTGCTGTCCACCACAGTGGCAAGGAGGCTAATAGGGCTCATGTCTACAAGAGATGAATAATGAAATTATAGTTTAAATAGGGCATGGCCCAGAACACAACAGCAGCCACAGTTATGTTCCACAGGAAGTGGGGCTTTACCAAAAAGAACAAAAGTGGATGGACATACTGCCATTCTACAGGCTTTTAGGAAACTGGGTAAAGGAAATAGAGCTTCTTTATCACAGTAAAAAGAAGAAGGATTTTTCATGGATGGCATGGTTTGAAGCCTTTAATGAGCTATAGGGTCTATAATCATCGGGATACCTTAAAGCACCCAGAGTCAACCACAGCATCGGAACCATCAATGCCTGGAATCTTAAAGCCAATGGAGACTGGCAGAGCTGCACTCTGCACATGGGAAATGGGAGGAGCAGAGGGAAGTGGTCTGTCCAGTGTGACACAGAGTTCCTGGCAGGACTAGGACAATGGCTGGCTCTCTTCTAATTCAGTGTTCTTTCTGTTTTATGGTTTTGTTTCTAAAAATTTCTCAGCATTTTAAAGCAAACCTAATTTGTACAGCTACCATTTATTCTGAAGAGGAAGGTACATTTGATGCAACTCTTTGTGCAAAAGCCAAGAACATCTAAAAGGCAAAGCCTACTGGTGTGTAATCAAGAATGTGAGGAAGGGTTGGGGATGTGGCTCAAGCGGTGGCGCGCTCGCCTGGCATGCGTGCGGCCAGGGTTCGATCCTCAGCACCACATACCAACAAAGACGTTGTGTCTGCCGAAAACTAAAAAAATAAATATTAAAATTCTCTCTCTCTCTCTCTCTCTCTCTCTCTCTCCCTACCTCCCTCCCTCCCTCCCTCTTTTAAAAAAAAAGAATGTGAGGAATGTCGGGAAGCTCTTCTCTGAGCCTCAGTTTCTCCTCTGTAAAGTGATTCTAAGGTATCAGTTTTTAGCAGTCATAATTCAGGCCATGTTAAAGATAACGGATGGCTGTTGTTGTTCTCTTTACTTCCCCAGTCATAAAACCTTGTTTGAAAGCTGTTACCTTTTTATTATCTCTTCTCATGTTAAGGATGGAGAGAGGCATGAAACTTGGGCTTTAGGGCAAAACAAAGCACACTGCATAAAACAGATGGTCAGTTTCTGCCAGGGCAGTGAGTGGAATGAATGCAGTCCCCAAGAGCCAGGGTGGTCCTCAGAGCCCTGCCAGCTGGTGTCCTGGGGAGATCTCGTAGCCAGACTAGACAACCAATCTCATGTGGATGTGGGAATAAGGAAGCCCATTATTATCTATCCCAGATAGAAGAAGGGACTAAGTGCCAAGCTCTGCAGAGCTACTAGTAAATAATAATACTAATAATTAAAAAAAAAAAAAACTGTGGCAAAGAGGCAAAGAAGTGGATCCAGGTAGAACTAAGATAAGAAAATGTTTTAAAACTGCTATCTGAATGTGGTAGGCTTTCAATATTCAAATTATAGGACTTGCTGCATTTTGCTGTATTAATAGCTACCTGACCCTTAGGCCTCAACCTACTTCCTCTGAGAAGATTCTCTTGTTACTTCAGCCTGGATTGCAGGTTAGCTTTATGTATTACCACACTACCTGTCATCTTTAGCAGTTGTCTGACCTCTTGTTTTTAAGTGCCTAGTCAATGCTTGCTGATAAATAAATGAATCTCCATGACCTCGAACAAGAAGCTCCAACCCTTCTGAAATAAATGACTTCTTATCCTTTTCAATGGGTAACAATGGCATCTCTACCCTATAGAAGTAGTTAACCAAAGCCATCAGAGTCAATGTTGAACAGTCATATAATAATAATGACTCCACTTCTCACTAATTAAATAATTAAYAATTTACAATGTCCTTTAATATACAGTTTTGTATTTCAGTCTCACAGTCATATCTGGGGTAGTTATGAATTTGAGCCCTTGGACAAGATCTAAAACCCAAGTCTGATAATACAGGCATCAAAGTATTTCCAGATTTAATAATTGCTACATTTATGAACATTCAGCTCTGATAGGCCTTTTAAAGCCTGTCACACCACTGCAGGGTGTGTGGCGCCCACCACAGACCTCACAGCGGTAGCAGTGCACGTGGAAGTCACGATCCAGAGCCACAATACGGACGGTCTCCTCCTGGCCAGGGGCTGGCATGATAGGCTCCTTGCACACGGAACATCGAGGGGCAAACTTCCTGAAAATGGAGAGATCATTCTTATTAGATACTAAGCATAGATCCTGATCAAAAGTGAGACACAGAAGGAAAAAGAAAAGATGAAAGTCTGGATTTGGGATGCCTGCTCTGCATTTCCTGTGTGACCACAGCGAGTCACTCTACTTCTCTGGGTCTGCTTTCTCCACTGTAAAATGAGAAAGTTGGACTGTTGAGGTCCCACTGGAGGGTACATACTGTGATAGTTGATGAGGTAGAAGAGTGAGTGTGGGATTACTTTGCAAGAAGGGCATCACTTTTCCACAAAGCATGTGGCATGTAATACAACTGCATGCAGACTCCTGACATAAGCCCTAGGCTAAACAGAGGGAAACAGGTCCCAACAGGCCCAATCTTGGCTTTGACTTTGGCTTCTAGATATTTTTTAATGTATTCGTCAAGCCCTGGACAAATATTCTAAAGTTGGTATCTTTGCCTCCTTTCCAATCATTAGAACCTCTTTCTTGGAAAGGAGTCTTAAATTCCAAGAACCAACACAAGAAACCTTATAGACAGCCCTTCAAAATAGCAGAGGCTAATGAATTGAAATACACATTGTATCAAACATAAAATGGCCAAATCTGCATTCTCTACATTCTGGTTTTGTGAAAATTTTGTTTGAAAAGTTGAAGAGCTGTCAAGTTCATTGCACTTAAAAGGATTTTAGCATAATTAAAGGCTATGCATATATAAACACACACACACACACATATATACATATATATTTAATAAACATATACATACATGTACATTTGCATATATTTTTGAGACTTTTGGTGAAATAATTTCAATATTTCTTAATTTCTTAATATGACCTCTTGTCCCTAACACTTTTTCCCCCTCATAACAGACTATAGGCTGCAAATATAGGTCACTCACCCATCTGTATTTCTGGAAATTTGAGGTGGCATTTATAAGGTGTGAAATGAGATATTATTTGAAATGGACCTGTATAAGAACTTAAGAGATTTTTTAAAAAGAAAAAGAAACTGGGCAACTCAATTTTTTCATGGTAATCGTTTCAAGATTAATGATGTTAAAATTTATCTATTTGTAATGAGACTTAAAAGGAAATAATGATAGTAATCTAATACTTTGCAGAGCACTTTATGGTTGTCAAGGCATTTTTACATACATTATACTCTATATGTACATATTAATTTTCCTGGCAGCACCCAAAAGGCATCTGTATGGCTGCAATCTAAATAAATATGAATTAAGCAGGAGATCAATTGATTGCTATGAAAGAAAAATTAAAAGGATCATGGTAGAACTGCAGTAGTAATCAGAGTTATTATAATTGGTATTTTATGTAAGAAGCTTATACCGTGGCAAAAAATTGCTTTGGACTACCTGATTATTTTTGAATCTGGGTCATCAGTAGTGAAAAAAGCAGACTTCTGATATCCACTGCAGAATTTCTTTTCCCMAAACCCATTGGGACTATAAACCCTGTAAGCGCAGAAATGTTTTTTGCTTATTATTTTATCTATTAGCGTCCCCCAACTTCATAAGCAGAATTACTTACTCTTCCAGGATATATTTTTTAAATCCAATTTATCTTATTTTTGTAGTAATTATGTACACCCCTTTGGGGGTCATCACTAATCTGTGAGTTCCAAAGGATGTGACTTTGCTCTGTCTCTGACTACCAAGACTGGTCCAGAAAGATGAAATCTGAACACTATTTAATGAAGTATCGGCCATATTTCTCTATAAGAAAGATGTTGTTTTGGCTTTTATGTTCAATCTTCTTTGAAAAGACATAAACTGTACTCTTTGTTGTGCTCAGTAATGATTCTTTTCTACCATTTGGCCTCATTTCCATGATGGGCAATAACAAAGTGAAGAGAGAGGAGATACTCCACAAAGTTCCTGGGCTGGCAATTTTAGAAGAGCTCAAAATTCCTGGTGGTGTCTCTCAAGGCTAMGTTCACTGAGTGAACAATAACCATAATAATAAAAATGAACTTGATGAGAACCCTTTTGATGATTGTAGCTGCCATTCATCGAGTGCTCATCACATGCCACATTCTGTTACGTACTTCATCTACTTAATATTACTTTCTATTGACAGTAACATTATGAGATAGTCCTTTTATCATTTCTACTCTACAGTCAAGACAGCAACGATCATTTCTCATATTCAACATATTTCTGGCTATCAACAAGTGGATGCTGATTAAACAAACAAATGGGTCAGTGTGATATCCCTACTAAGAGAGCAAACAGAGTGGAACAAAGCCTCAATGCACTTGAGTCTGTTTTCTGGGTTTCCTCACTGCACGGATGCTGGAAATATAGAAAAAAAAGGAGGGAGGATCCTAGCACCCTGAGAGGGAGTCCTATATATTCCTATATTTGTTCTATTAATATGGGTGCATGTGTATGTATATGTATGTGTRTGTGTCTTAGTTTTTTTTGCTGCTGTGCCTAAAAGGATCTGTCCAGAAYGACAGTGGCAGAGGAAGAGTTTATTTGAGAGCTTATGGTTCAGAGGTCTTAGTCCACAGAAGGCTGGCTCCATTCCTCAGGGCTCAAGGTGAGGCTGAACATCATGGTGGAGTTTGTGGTAGACGGAAGCAGCTCACATCATGGTGATCAATAAGCAGAGAGACAAAGTCCACTCTCCAGATACAAATATATACCCAAAGCCATGCCCCAATTCCCACCTCTTCCAGCCACACTCTACCAATTCAGGGATATAACCCAATCATTTCTTCTTCAAACTTTCTTGCATTGTCTCACATGTGAATTTCTGGGGGATACCTCACATCCAAACCATAACTGTGTGTGTATGTGTGTGTGTGTGTGTGTGTGTGTGTGTGTGTATAATCTAACTCATTTCAAAAATAATTTAAGGTGGGTGCTGTAAAACTTGATATATATATGTATGTATGTTTCACTACAAATCAGGCAGTGGTAGGTACTATCTTGTGCAGACTTCGGAAACTTATCCAAATACAGAGAGGAAGGTATGAATTCCAACGTGGGGATAGGAGGGGTGAGATCAGAGAACTCTTCTTAGAATTAATGGTAATTGGATTTGGGCTGTAATGATGGCCATGTAGGTGAAATGGGAAAGTGTGTGTGTGTGTGTGTGTGTGTGTGTGTGTGTACGTGTGTGTGTGTGTGTGTGTGTGTGTACGTGTGTGTGTGTGTGTGTGCGTGTGTGTGTGTTGGTGTGAGTTAAGTTGGTCTGCCAGGGAACTGAGTTCACAGTTGTATCTGAATTGACACCTGTGAAAGAGTTCATGCCCAAAGGGATGGGGACATAAGCCAACTTTGACCAGAGATGGTTATATAGAGAGTGCCCATTAGCAAGGCTTCAAGATTCTGCACTTTGAATGACAAGCTTCTGAGATACCACTTTTGAGGCCTTGCCAGTAGACATCCCCTGCATTCCCTGTCAGGAATTTCCTTGCTTCCTGCTGAATTCACTCTTCAAATTCTGCTTCCCTGAAGCCTGCTGGTCCCAGAGCCACTCCCTGTCTTCTGTCTCCCTGTGTTTGTCTCATGGCGCTGCCTTTCTGCCCTGCAGTACTGTTATGTCTGCACACTCTGCCCTCCTCTTGGCAAGCTCCTGGCCCACAGGGACTTCTCTCTGTGTATGTCTGTGCAATTTCTCCCTCGTAACTCTTTCCTTCAGCACTTAGCACAGTACTTGGCACACAGAGGGTTCTCTGCAAGTACAGGTTGAACTGAATTGAAATGTTTTCTAAAAGTCCACAAAGGGAGATCCATTAGAAGGATCAAAAATACTCCCCCCTCCCCCGGCCCAAATCTCTCTGAAGGAAGCAACTATGTCCCTGGTCCACCTCTCCTTGGCCTCGCAGTGCCAACCTGGTGCTGGAGACTTCTAGCTGCTTTATGCTCTAGTATTTTCAAGGCTCAGAAGAAAGTGTTTTGGAAAATGTTCTCTAGTTTTTCCTCTTGTAAATGGGGAAAATATCAAAAAGACTCCACTCCCCCCATACAAACCTGCAATTATTCAGACAATATTATATAAAGAAAGAATTTATATTTTAATATACTGAACTCGTGCAGAGGGGGAATAGCTGGGGTTTCAGTTTTTCTTTAGCTGATCAAGTCTGCTTTTCTGAAGCTTTCGGACCCACCCACTTACRCCACCAGTCGCAAGTCTCTAATTATGCTCCCCACCACTGGAAATGAAAGATAAATGGCATAGATATAAACTTAACATTTGTCAGAATTGATTTCCTGTTTTAATTGAGGGGTGTAATACATCAGTCTTTTCCAGCAACAGAAACATGTGTGCTCTGATTATATCTATCAGTCTTTCTTGGATTAGGGTAAGTCTAAGAAAGGAACGAAACAGTGACAGAAATACACTCCCCATTGGTATCTTTTCACTTCCCTTAAATAGATGCAGGTTTTTTTTTTTCCGTGTGTAATTACGAGCTAAAAATATCAATAACGTGAAGTACAATTTATGCTGTGACTGCCCTTTAAAAGCAAGCCCTTCCTTGTCTAATTCAGGTTGAGAATTTCTGCCTCTGGGTTCTTCTTCTTCTTCTTTTTTTTTTTTTAATTCATTCAGCCTTATATCTTTTCGTGAGGTTTTCACTTTCTCTGCTACTTGGAAAGTAGTCAGGAAACTCATTTTTAAAATATGAGGCAAAGGTCCCCAAACTTCTTGTGGAAAGTACCTCCTGGCTGTTGACAATCAACAGTGGTGAAAATGAACCCACAAGACTGAATATTTGAAGGCCATAAGACAGACACCCAGTGGTGAGTAGTGCGAGCCTGTCTCTCGGACAGCCTCACCAGTCCTCTGCAATGCCATGCCCAGATCTTCAGAGCCAAGTATGAAAAAAGTCCATATCTTCCATCAGCAAGAGGCAGCAAGAGCTTTCATAAGGACCTCAAAGACATGGAACACATGTGAACAGTCAATTAACCCCTTAACAAACTGGCCAAATAAATGTCAGTAAAATACAAATTGGTATGATTTTCTCAGAAACCCCAGCTATYGTAGAGGAAAGAGCGACCTATAAATGAGACAAACGAGGAAGGGGGACTTATTTTTTCCAGGCCCATAACTTAGCGGCTGTGATCTTGAGGTTCCACTTTCTAACCCTCCTCAAAAGGCCACACAAGATGGCACTGATCAATTTCATCATGAAAACATCCTAGGAAGAGAAGATCTTGGTTGGGGAAGAGGTTAGGAAAAGCCACCAACATGCTGGCAGTGGCATGAAGTTGCCTCTGGGTATCATATGTGAGAGGCTTGCATTARTGAGGGGGATGCCTGTCCTCTGTGTCTGGCCACAATCACCTCCCATCTGTACAGTGGTCGGGGTGTAGATGCTCTCACAGTTGAGAGGATTTTCTAAGGTTTCATCCAAAGACCAAATGGAAGATCTCAAAGAAGTAATTTGCCCAACATCACACCACTTGTTCTTGTTTAGGCCAGGATCTTGCCTCTTTCTAATATGCACACTTTGTGGTAGAGTCTACCTTTTCCACAACTAGAGCCACATAAAGACACCATGGACAGGCCCCAGAGAAGCCTTGAAACAGAGGCCTGAATRGCTGGCCACACAGATGACCTGATATTCATTCTTTCATTAGATGAGGGGGTGAGGAAATAGGCTCCTTACAGGTCTCACTAAATCCTGAGAGTCTACAGCTCTGAGAGAGAAGAATGTGCAGCCCAGATGTCGGGAAGTAGGAACAGAGGACTGGCAGGTTCCRGGGGTGGGGGTGGGGGGAGTGGAGTGCCTACTTGTGGAAGTCCTCAATGCAGTGAATGAGTCCACCAGCATCCACGGTGAATGGGATGCCATCCAAGCTGCGGTGGCACATCACACAGGTGAAGCAGTGAGGATGATAGGCCTTCCCGGTAGCACGGAGAATCCTCTCCATGATGGGCTTGGAACACACGTTGCACTGCTCCAGAGTATTCTGAGGAGGCAAAGATACRGATGTTAGGGTGGGGCTGAGAGAGCTCTATATGAGTGTTTTAAAAAACATACTGGCTCACTTGCTTATCATTATATTTGGAGAAAGGCAGAGTGCATCTTTATTACAGAGAGAAGAAAACACAATCAGATGGATCAGTGACTTTTCTAAGGTCATCCAGGTAGTGGGCAGCAGATCCACATTTAGACCACAGGCTTTCTGAATCTTACCTTATTCCATTACAGCAAGGGGGATAGCAAACTTTTTTGTGAACTAAATATTTCTGGTTTTGTCATAACAACAGAATTTTGTAGTTCAAAAGCAACTAGAGACAGCACCTAAACAAGGGAGCATGGTTATGTTCCAGTAAAACTTTATTTACAAAAACAGGTGATGGGCTAGAGGTTGTAGCTAGATCATGGAACCATAATACACAGGCACTCCACCTGCAAAATGCTTTACTGTTACTTCTAAAATGTGGTTCATTATCAAAGACTTGCAAGGGGTATATCAAGGCTCCTTACGTTTTAGAGAGTGGTCTGTCTGATGAATGAGACAGTCACACTGGCTACAAAACCCAAATCAGAGCAATGAGGCTTCCAGTCACTTAAGACTTTAATTCAAACACCATCTCCAAGTTTAAGGTTCATGAACTCAAGATAGAAATGTTGAAAGTAGTGGGTGGGAATTAACAAATTCAATTAATCCGRCTTTAAAAATATGCTGAGGTTTAAAAATACACACCACCTTTAAAACATCCCATTTAGTGAGTCAGCACTCAGAAGATCAACTGTTAACTTTCCATCTTCCCCCAGAATCCTGTGCTTTCAACAAATAGTCGTTTCACGTGTAATATTTTTTATTCCAATGGAACTATCTGGACTGAATCAATGGAATCTGGAATACACATAGGGTGTGGATACCATTAGAAACATGAAAAGAACCGGATGGGATGTGGAAATTGAGGAACTGCCCTCTTACCATAAGAATCTTTAAATGACTGTGAGGCAAGACATGACTGTATGAAGGTCATTAGTGTCCTGATACCTATAGGTCAGAGGGCTTCCTCAAAGGCCCTACTTGGAATGAACTGATTCTTTCTCTTCCTTTCCTGAATACTTTATCCATTTTGCTTCCATACTTACTGTGTGAACTTTTAAAACACATTTGTGCACATATCTACATCTTCTACTAGACTGCAATTTCATGAAAGGAAAGGGACTATGTCTTAAAAATATTTATCTGTCCCATATTGCACACAGAGTATCAYGGCCTGGAATTAAGATAAGTCAGGATGAACATGTGCAGAAAGAATGAATGGAGGAATATTGTTTCACTCCACCCTGGCAGCACAGTGCTGCCCCCACTCTCCCAGCTCTGGGATCTATCCCAAGATGAATTGGTAAATCCATCATCATCCTCCCGTCAGAGCTGCGGTTGCCCGAGCTTCTGAAATTGCTTGGTACGCCTCTGGCCACAGTCTAAACTCATGGAAACTATTAACCTATTTTTTTCCCCATTTTGAAGTGGTGAAATTAAAATAGCAGAAGAGCATAGGATGAGAGTCTGGAGCTGATGATGGTCTGGAGAAGGAGGGTTCTGTTTCTTTTCTGTACTGGAGATCTGAGCTAATGTGGCTAGAAATTGTCTTCCCAGGRCTTGTGTTTGTTTTGCTTCTCTGTGGGGTTTTTTTTTTTTTTTAAATCTAGCTCTATAATGGAGTTGAACAAACCAGAAAATGCTTGATCAGAATATGTTTTTGTTTACATTGAGGCTTGGCTGCAAGATTCAGCTCATTTACCCAAAACCAGTGGCAATATATAAGGCTTAATGGTTTCTAAGGAAAAACTTTATGGCTTATAGAAGCTCTGCTCAAAGCACAGGTAATCTGAACATTTATGCTACATAGGAAAATAAGTGCAAAATATGCCTAAAATCTGCCTATCACAATTCCCCCATATCAGAAAATGAAAGTTCTAGGAAAACAGTAATCACACAGATTGGGCTAGTAAATAATGGGGCTAGTGAATGATCATACTCTAACCTTCATTAGCCACCTWCCTCTACTCTGTTTCTCTTTTTCAGTCTCCAGCTACCCATTAGTAAGTACCCTTAGGCAACTTTTCTGAGAGAAAAGGTAGAATCTCTCATGGTGTCAGGAAGGCAAGAGTTCCTACAGTCCATGCTGCCATCTCACAGGTGAGCAAACACGCCTGGAGAACYGATCAGCTGGATCTGAGTCATGGAGCTCATGAACTGTAGGGGRAAGTGGTATCCTAGTGTCCAATAATTCCAATACGTCAGTGGTACCCTGACTTCCAATAATTCAGAGAGGGGTCTGACAAATTCATGAGGTTCCCACACAAAGGAAGAGAGCTGGTGGATGAAAAACATGAATTGTCCTGACTTTGTCCACATACATTGGTATGATCTCTTGGGTATAAAATTCTTTTCTCTAGAGCTTAGTTTTCTCAATGGTAAAATGATGATCAATTCCAACTCTACAATTTTATTGCTGTTATTTATTAGTATTAACAACACAGGAAAACAGTAAACGTTTCCATTATCAGAGATGTACTAGAAACAACTACRTAATTCCTTAACAGAGGTTGGGGGATGGGGGTTATCTGTCAGAAACCTGGGCTATGTTATCTTGACAATGTGTTTCCACTAATAATTTCAGAAATTGCTAATCATAGAATTTCTAGCACCACAAAGAACACCTTCTTATACATGGTTGTTTTTTAGACAGACAAAAAGTTACACTCTTATATTTTACTTTTCTAAGTTGGAATGGTTAATAAAAACAGCTTTGAAGAAAATGGAAAAACTTTAATAGAATAATYAGAAAGGAGATATCTCTTACATATGTCTATTCAAATCAATCTTGTATGTRGAACAGGGTGCCATGTTTGATAGATGGGAAGTTGAGATGAAACTGCACACACTCCAGCTTAAGGACCTTCAAAATCAGCAGAGGGCTTTSTGACCTTCATTGAGCCCTTCCCTTATGGACTCCACTTTCCAGCTGCCACACTGAGCTGTTTGGCACATTTTTAATAAACAAAATTCTTCTATAAGCTAAGACTAGCTCATTTCCTTTGYCTAGAGAATGTCTTCTCATTCCTCAAACATGAAGCTCAAATGTCATCTCTTCTTAAAAAAAAAAAAAGAAAAGAAAAGAAAAACCAAAACCAAAAACAAAACTTTCCTATTTCTCCTTCTGTTATATTACAAATAAAACAAGTCACTTTCTCCTCTGATTTTATGGTGCTTCTCCTATGGCACCTCTAGGTTCCCTTCCCCATGAAACCACATTCTGACGTTGTGTAGATTCTGAAACAGAGATTTCTGTACAGAAGTTATTGAGGAGTGTCCTTGTAATCACTATCTGTGGGAAAGTACAGAAGAACCTGGGTGGAGAGGGAAGAACTTGACAGCTGGGATTGCCAGGAAGAAATGTCATTCAATGGAGCTAGAGGTTAGGGCCTTTATATCYCTGCATCTACCAATCAGAACACACAGGTTATTTCCAATAAGGAAGTGTGATGTTGGGTGATGTGGTTCCCTTCAATTGGGGATAATTCTCATGGAGGGACCCAGCTATGAATGAAACCTGTCAATGCTGCCAGCAGCTGGGAGAATGACAGTCTCATAAAGAAGCATCTGGAGCTGGGTGTAGTGGCACATTCTTGTAATCCAGCAGCTCAAGGGGCTGAGGCAGGATGATTGCAAGTTCAAAGCCCGCCTCAGCAAAAGCAAGGTACTAAGCAACTCAGTGAGACCCTGTCTCTAAATAAAATATAAAAAAGGGCTGGGGATGTTGCTCAGTGGTTGAGTGCCCCGAGTTCAAAATCCAGTAACCCCCCTAAAAAAGAAAAAAGTAGTATCTGGGCACAATACTATGTCATCACATCATCCACAACAGTAACCATCCTTGCCCAGAGCCTACATAGTAAGGAATTGGTAATCAGCTGTGTGAGGTCCTATTGCCTAAGCTAAATAAAGAATCTAGATTTCATTCTTTTTGTAACAGGCACTGTTTGAATTTTTTTTTTTTTTTTTTTACAGAAAATGTTTTAGGCAGTTATTCAAGTGAAGTTATGGTTAAAGTGAAATGATTTAAGAGTAGCAGAGAAGAAGCAAGAAATTAGTCATTAAAAGGCACAACTTTTCTGAAATGATGGCGATGCATTTTCGAGAAAAAAAAAACACAAAAATTTAAGGAAAAAATAAAAAGAAGATCACAAACAAACCTTGAACACAAAACTCGCAAATGCAACTGTTTTTAAATTAGAGATACAATCTGGTTGTAGCTTTTCTATCCTTGGATGTTGTATAAATAACTTTCCTAATTCACAGGCAGAAGAACTGGAAGAATCATATGAATATAAATGAAGCATATAGGCAACATAAACATAAACTACTAGTGAGATGATAAAGAAGATAGGACTATTACTATAATWAATATATTACAGAAGTATATATGTGACCAATGTTGAATATTTTCAATGAGGAAACATAGTATCTGAAATTCAGAAGACTCTWAAGTAATTGTTGTCATTTAGATATGTTAAATTCTTATTTCATAAAACTAAAAGGTGATCCTATATTCAGGGTTTTCTTTTTTTAAGGTAAAAAAGTAGTATTGTGAAATAGTATCTTGGAATAACAAGGGGTAACATCTCATGTTTTAGATATAGTTTTGGTCTTTGGATAAAAAGAATCAGAGAAAAAAAGAGGGAGAGTTAGAAAATATTAGATCTTAAAAAGTGTTCTTTAAGATTGATGTAGTCCAGGAGTTTATAACTCTCCTCATGACTCCCTCTGAAGCTTTTGCTTAAAGAAACAGTTTGTCAAGGAAGCGCATCTAAAGGAGGTCAAACTCATTTGGGGCTGGAGAGTGTGAAAGGGTGCAGCCTGGAGGATTTGCATTGCACAGTTTGAAAACCATGAGTTTTAATTCCAGACTCAAGAAAATGAGACAAAGATAGCAAATACAA